GTTGTCTAGAGATTGGGGTTCTACTCGCTGGTGGGCTTTGGACCCGGTAATCACTCAGGGCTCCACTGTAAATTTCAATTTGTGTCAGCACATCTCAGCCGTCGGCTCTCAGGAAACTTGTCATGTATAATTCAAAATGATTCATTTCCTTAATGTTCCAGCATGTCCCAAGGCCATTTCGAATCGTTCTACCTTTACAAGGCTTAGACGAGGCAGGGGAGGACAATGCAGCTATTTTGGCGGCTTCTGGCGCATCAATCCTGTGATTTACGTCACCTGCAGGCAGATCAGCGCATTTGTACCATCTACGGCTTGTTTGTGCCCTAGGTACCCACTTGAAAGATGAGACTTTGGGAAAGTTTAGGACCAATTAATTTAGCACAGTGACCGGTTTAGCATAGCAGGAACTCAGGAGTAGTGACATGGACACAAGCTCGACCCAGCTGCAAAATGAATCCCTACAATGCCGAAGACTTCCCAACCTTTCCCAACCTTCTGGCCATGAGTCAGCAAACTCAGCCACACGCCTAGGCCACGTCTAGGTTCTGGAAGTTACCAACCTTCTCATTGAGACAAGCGCCCAGCTGGAAAAAGTGCTTGTCAGTTGCTTCGCCCAAAAAAAACAGCATACGTTGGAAGCATCGCTCAAGAGTTCTTTGGGGATTGCAAAGCTGGATCTGTTAGAATTTGGGAGCAGGGTCTGGGACATTTGGCACTCAAGAAATGTCAAGAGTACTTGAATGCATTTGCCTTTTATGGTGCTCAAATCAGTGGCTGCCGTGCTTTGTGCTCCCTGCACTTGTGTCATTGAAACCATTACAAAGGGCTGACACTGGTTTGTCCAGAAGATTTCCATTGACAGTTGCCACAAAATTGTGAGACCATGTACTGTAATTAGCGGGTATTTGTAGCTGTCATTGTAACTTTTCCAGACTGTATATAACAGATAGGCTGCTCGCTTTTGCCGATTAGCTTTGCTTTGCATTTTGCGGTGTGAAATATCGTAATGTTGCACGTCCGGTTTGCAAAGCCAACGGCCCAAAAGATGCCGTGCTTTCCAGCACTTCAGTTGGTGAGGGTATTTGGACGGCAAGCCGACATGCATGACAAGCAGGAGCGCTTCGCTCAAGAAAAAGCTGACTTGCTAGCTCGAAGAGACAAATCTTCAAAGGGAGATTGGGATGCTCCGATTGTGCCTCTTCTAAATGAGATCAATAGCTATGATCAGTACTGCACGCTGAGCTCTTGCAGTGGTCGCGCTTTTCTATGGCGTCCAAGCCGGGAGAAAGACCCCAAAGAGCCTCAGCAGAGACTTTTGCCAGCGAAGGGCAGCTTTTCTCGGACGTGGCGTTTTCACATTTGCCATTCCTTCGATGAATGGAGTCCGGACAATGCAGTGGCAGGACTTCCGACTGAACATGTTGCTAGGTATTCCTTTGGAAGTGAACGAGGGCTTCATGTTGATGCAATTTGGGCTCGCTTTGAGCCATTCATTCTTCATGTCGCGTGCCGCTCATTGGAGGATGCGTTTGAACTAATTGACATCTCTCGAAGAGCCTTTCCGAAGTCATCATTGCTGTCCTTCCGGAAACGCTTTGTGGTTCAGGTGCCTGGAGAAGACTATGTTGATCTGCCATATTGCTTTCGGGATCCCGACTCTTTTAATGCATCCGATTGGGCCGGGTTTTCTGGCTACTTAAACTATGTGATTCAAGACAAGTTCCAGATGAATAGTCATCGGATTGGACTCTTCAAAGAAGATTTGAAAAGTCAAAATGCTCCTGTTGTATTGGTGATGAAAGTGTCCTGGGTTTGGCATTTTGGATTCACATGAGCCTAAGTTGGGAATGTTGTTTGCTATTATTTGCATTTATTTGCTGATTTGAACATATTTGAACAAGGTTCTTGTTTGATTGAAATGGGAGGGCCTGCCTAGCAGGCCAAGCAGCAATTTGGCGAAAGACCCGAAAGTGGTGAGGAACAAACTCTATGTTTTCGATCGACGCTATACTTTGGGACCACATTGCATGGGCCATACAGCCATTTTTTCTGGGAATCTTTGCAAACCGCATTTGGATTCTTGTTTGGTATTCTTTGGCCATGCCAAGCATTGGGGTTGAACATAAAAAACCTTACTAAACCACGGTATTGCTGGTGAAACTGGAAGCCATGGAAAACAACACCACGACCACTGGAGGGGGGTCACATGCTCGGCCTTCGGTTTTGATTTCATTGGATCAAATTCAGACCCATGATTGAGTGGGTAAAAAACCAAACCGTTTTAATCCTAGTATGTTTGGTGGGAACCAAGAACTGAAAACTATTATATATAGCCTGAAATTAATACACTTGGAAGTATCAGCGTTTGATGGAATTACCACAACAAAAATTGTTCAACATATATTCCAGAGGGAAACTTTGGAAACAGTTTGGAATTCTCACTGTTTTTTGGAACAACCCGACAAATTTACCCACATTATTTTTTCCAAGGGGAAACGTCAACCTCACTATCTGTAGTGGCCGCGGCTGCCATGCACGTGGCTGCATGACCTCTATGAAGGCACCAACCGGGAAGGGTGACAAAGCGCTGCTTCCACCCAAAGCTGCGAAAGCAGGTTAACTGAGAATTTTCTCCCAGTTTTCAAATAGAGCCTTTGGCTCATCTGGCCCCAAGTGACCCAATGGAATCTTTGATAAACCAAATTCAAGCCACTTTTTTTAAGAGGTGCTACCACAAAGGGTTTTAAAACCATAGCCACAGGTCCTATCCCAACAGCACTTGGTTTAAGTTCATTCCATCCGGGTCTCCGTTTTGGAATATTCCCGCAAATACATTGCGAGGCAAAGGAGGTATCTCAAAAAAAGGCGTTGGATACATGTTGCCCCATGACATCGAATGGCTTTACGTTTGAGTTTTACTAAGAAGCTCTCTTCATCAAAATTCTGGAACATGGATGGATTGAGACGAGTTGTCTCAATTTCATCGGCAACGTGAAACAAGTAATGGGTCTTGCATCGCGTTTTGAACATCAACATGAGTCTTTCATAGTGGTACGATGCCAGCCACAGGTATGTTTTCAAATGAACTCTCAAGCATTCACTAGCTTCAGTCGCTTCGGACTCTGAAAACACCAGCCCTGAATTGTCCATGAGCTCCACAACCCGTTGCATTGAGTAGCAGTAGGTTCCCAACATGTTCAGAACCGGGTCCTGGGCAAACAGAAGGAATTTAATGCTAAAAAGTTTATATAAGAAGAAACCTATTTGGGATAACTTCAACAGACATCTAACGTCATAAGAAGTACCTTGTGGAAACATGACAAAACTATTCTTTAATCCAGACAATAGGACAGAACAAGGAACCTCGGGGTTCTGATCTGCAAACTCCGTTGTCTCCAGTGCAAGCCACCAGAGCATGACTTTGATGTGGGAAGCTTTGAACCGTGTCCCCAATTCAGCAAACGAATCAGGCCCCCCAATGTTTGCCAATGTAAGGCATGGCTTGGCCGGAAGATAGAACCTTTGACTGGGTTTCAATTTATGAAGATGTATGGAAAAAGTTCCCATTCTTTTTCTATGCGCTTACAACCCACCCGGTATAATGGATCAAGAAATGAAGACTCATTGGCTATGAAAATCAAGGAACCCATGCTTTTTGCAGGTCTCACGCATGCTTTTGTGAACACTGTGAACGCCCGCCAGGATGTCATCCATGTCCGTTGCACCTTGCGCTTCGGCTGCAAAGCGACCGTGTTGGATCAGCACCCGAATACCTGGGAAGTATGGAATGATTGGGCATACACCCAATCGGGTCAAGATGGTTTATTGCAGGGTAAGTTATGTATATGTATATGCATTTGAGACATGTGGGTAAATCTATATATATATATACATATGATTAGATGATAGATGTGCATTTGTATCCCCATACCTCTCTATACAAAGATTGGTTTACACACAAACATGCCTGTGTGTAAAATGGAATTTCAACCTGTGAGTAAACTATATTGCCAAGCGACCACTGGCACACAAGTCTCGGGCAGTTCCGAGGTAAACATGATGCAGCCCGTCATGGGAGATTGTGAGGAAATTGAACCCCCAGCTATTTTTTCCCATATATCGGGACATCCATCTCCTGTCGAGAACCTGGTAGGTTTCATGGCTGATGTTCGTCACACCCCAAGCCGCAGTAGGACCCACATTCCTGTAGTCCATAGGTGTTGGGCATCTGTCCCCCTGCAGTCCGAAGCATCTATCGCAAAACCTGGGAGGATGGGCGATTGAGGTAAAACCAGGATCCCTTGTAATTTTGAAAACCCGAACTTTTTCTGGTGGAAATTGTTCCAGACACACCAAATAAATTTTAACCAAGAAACAGATTGCATTTGTACCACCTTTGCAAGTTATGCATCTGATGGCGAGCTTTCAGATCTGCCTTGAACGATACATAGCACGCCCTTAGATCGGCCACAAGCCCACAAAATTGTAAACATGTTTGATCCGGGTAAAACCCACCCCCCATTGTAAACCACCATGGCAAATATTTAACTAGGCTCACCATGGATTCCCACATCAAATGAGCCATTGCATTTCGAGGAAAGCAACACAGAAAGGTTTTGTAACAAGTAGGGACTGGGAATCCTCCACCCCTTGGCCAATTCTTTGCCCTTTTGTTTGAAGCGAGTTGTCCCTGCACTGAATGCTTCCCCTTGGAACCCATTGTGAGGCCATTTGCCTTGGCCTGCAAAATCCATTGACCATGCAGTCAGTTCTGCGATGCGTTTGTGCACCTCGTCTCGAACCTGTGGTTTCGGGGCAGGGAAAAATGTGGCAGGGTACAGACGGTCTTTTCTATTTCTGGTCATATATAAAACACAAAACCTTAAACACGGTGAGTAACAGCTGATTTTCTCATCCATCTTTCAGGAATCACAGCGATGGGGAAACGACTCATGAGAACGTCCTTGATGGATCCTTCAGTGGAGAAATTTTGAGCTCCAAGACCACACGAAATATTCGTCTTCCTTGTAGAATTCCCACCCGTCACCATGGATATGGATGCCTATCAACTTTTCCCAATTTCCATCACTAATGATCGGGATTGATCGGGTGTTTTGCCCAAGGGTCCAAATTGGAACCATGTTGCCAGAAGGCCACACGATCTTCATCTGAATGGTGCCCCAACATGACGCTGTCAAAGACATACTTGCATGATGAAGACATGGCAGCAATCACTTCATGGGGAAGCAAAACTCGGATGGCTGTAGGTCGAGCGTTGTTGTTGCACCCATCTACCTCAATGGAAGCTGACAACAGTAACTATTTGAGATTGTCATGCAACAGATTGTAAACATTGAATACGATTAAGATGAAACTTTTGGCACCCCAGTCCTGCAGAGGAACTGATATGCTGTAGGTTTGGAGTGAAAACCTCCACAGATTAGACATCCATCTATGGAGGTCCCTCTCCTGATTCCCAGCATGGTTGCCAGACGTGCCAAGGCTGGCAAAAGCCTCAAGCGCTTCGTTTGGAAGCATGTGGTCATCAATCAACCTGGGAGGCCGGGCTTA